TCTGAGCCTTTTGCATATTTGCGCGGGCTTTGATCAGCAATTCCCGGTACTTCCGAACGGAAGCGGGAGAGCAAGGGACGTCTATGTCGGCAGCCTGTGGTAAAAGGAGATCGGCGAAGATCCGTGCTTTCTCTCCACCWTGATGTAACTCGAATGGTGTGACGCAGMTCGYCGGGTGCACCGAAGTGTTATARGCGAACTCGATGTCRGGAAGCYGGTCAACCCAATCTTTCTGGTCGGGACGGAYGAGYRTACGCAACATCATCTGAGCGGTCTGGTGCGCTYGCTCCGTCTGGCCATCCGTCTGCGGGTGCCGAGCCGAGCTCGGCTTCATTGTCGTACCGGACTCAGCCATGAGGGAAGTCCAAAAAGCCGACATGAAGCGAGTATCTCGGTCGCTTACTATGTCTTCCGGAACACCCTGGTTGGTAATCCAACCGGTGTGCAAGAGTCGTGCGAGCTCAGGCGCTGCAGCATGATACCTGCAAGGAAGGAAGCGAGCATACTTGCTCAGATGGTCAACGACCGTGAGAATACCGTCATGGCCGTGGCGATCGCGGGGAAACGGGCCTGTCACGTCCATAGCAATGGAGAGGCACGGTGCCCGCGGAATCGGCAATGGTTTCAGTTCACCGAAGGGGACTCGAGATTGACCCTTGTTGCGGTGGCAAACTGCACATGACTCAATGTACCTCGTGACGTCATGAAGGACGTCGGACCAGTGAAAACGTTGGCGGAGGCGTGCTAGTGTGTGGTTCACGCCAAGGTGTGCCGAAAGTCGTGCGTCGTGGAATTCGCCGAGAAGACGAGTCCATAAGATGCAATCTTGGGGCACAACTAACAAGTCCTTTCCTCTCGTGTGAAGGAGAAGGAACCCGTCGGATATCCGATAGTGGCTAGCCGGCGGGTGATCCGATGAAAGCTCCGCATAAAGTGTGGCATAAGTCAGATCGGACTTGTAGCCTTTGACGAAATGCGGCTGCAAATCGTCCTCGAGGTCGAATGTCGTGGTCACAATGACACAAAAGTCGGGCCGTCGTGAGAGGGCGTCCGCAGCTCGATTGGCGGGACCGGGAATGTGGCACGGGTCAAAGTCGAATTGGTCGATGTAATACATCCATCGACCGATCGTACTAGTGACCGTATCCTACGTTTTGTAAAAGGTCAACGGATTGTTGTCCGTATTCCATTTAAAACGCCGACGGCTGAGAAGAAAGTGGCGCCACCGTTTGAGAACGGTGACGAACGCGAGTAGCTCTTTCTTCCTAGCGTCGTCTAGAGTGTTGACGAGGGGCACCTTTTGGGAGAAGTACTCGACCGGATGCCAACCGTCCTCGTGACACTGTTCCAACACCGCACCAATRCCGTATCCCGAAGCGTCCGTAGTCACTTGGGTGGGTAGGGTGGGGTCGTATATACGGAGGGCAGGTGYGGCTTGCATCACTGCCTTTAACGTAGTGAACGCGCCACGGGCTGCGTCGTCGAACTCGAAGGGCACCTTTGGGGACTGGAGTCTTGACAAAGGAGCGGCCACTTTCGAATATGACTCGATGAATCGCTGATAATATCCAGCCAAACCCATGAAAGAGCGTAAATTCGTCGTGCAATGAGGTTCCGGCCAATCCACGATGGCTTGGATCTTGTCCGCTAAGGGACGAATGCCTTTCGGCGTGACAAAATGACCTAAGTACTCAAGCTCTTGCTTGGCGAACTCGCACTTGTCGAGATTCGCTTTGTACTTGGCTAATTGCAAACGATCCAGAACAACGCGAAGGTGTACGATGTGCTCGTCCAACGTCCTACTGTAAACCAAGATGTCATCGAGGTAAATGAGGACGCTGCGATCGAGCAAGTCGCGGAACTCAGTCGTCATCGCTGCTTGGAAAGTTGCGGGGGCATTGGTGAGGCCAAATGGCATTACAACCCACTCAAAATGCCCGTACTGTGTCTTGAACGCAGTTTTGTACCGATCTTGAGGCTGGATTTCAATCTGGTGGTAACCTGACTTCAAGTCCAAATTCGAGAAGTACGTCGCGCCGCCTAACCGCTCAAGAAGATCATCAATCCGAGGGAGAGGGCCGACGTTCTTTACGGTTTGTGCGTTAAGTTTCCGATAATCGATGCATAACCGTAGATCTTTGTTCTTCTTCTGCACGAAGAGAACAGGGGCGCCGTATGGCGAGCAACTAGGGTGAATCCAGCCCTTGTCGAGAAGGTCATCGAGTTGTGCGCGAAGCACCTCGAGTTCCTCTTCGCTCATGCGGTAGATAAATCCACGAGGAGGGACGGCGCCAGCCGCGAGAGTGATCCCGTGACGTATGGGCCGATCCGGAACCGTTCCGGTGGGAGCCTCGAAGACGTCTCTATACTCGTCCAAGAGGTGAGAAA